ATGCTCTCTGTTGGGTAGCACAAGGCCCCAGGTTAAGCAGGATTCTGTGCTTGTTTTAATGTTCTGCTGTTGCCATTTCATAATTCCTGAGGCTCTTTGAACAAGAGACCTTACACTTTCTCCTCATTTGACCTCTAAGAATTATGTAGCCAATTCCGTTGTAACCTAATTAGTATTCTTCAGGTCAAGGCCCTACTCTTTTGTATGCATAAGTTCTTTGGTGAACTAATAACAACTGGAAAGAATTTTTTATCGTATAAATAAAATATACAGGAAACAAATTATATGGAAATACAACTGTTTAGAAAAACAATTTGTGGTCACATGACATTTGCACCATCTTGAATTAAGTAAGCCTAGTGGCAAGACTCATAAGTTCTGTTATTCAGAAGTTAGGATAAGGACAAATGATATTCAGAATGTATGCAACAACTGAAAGATGCTGCAAGGTGTTACCAATCAGACTATGGCTTTTTTGCTCACAGTGCAAGAGAGAAATCAGGAAGGGCACAGCAGCACCAACCAAACAAGGTTTTATTGGAACTTGTGTTTGAGCACAAAAGGGACATGCAGGGATAATGGCTTTCTGATTGGCACTCTGAGGTGTCAGACAAAGTGTTTAATAGTCCGGATGCCATCCCTGCACAGGCACAGTAGAGCTTGCCACACACAATCTAGGATTCTTGCACACAATTCATTTGATCTTTGTTCTTAGCACCAAGTCTCTCATTGTACTGAGCCTGTTTATATTTGGGTCACAGATAAATGACAGAAGACTTATTACCTATACCCCTGGGAAGTCATCTAGTGGTTGAATCAGGTCCTGTGTGAATATGAATCTCGTGAGAAAGTCTCTTGGCAAGCACTGGAAGAAGCTACCAGTTCCTGAGCCTGATTGACTGTGGACACATCCGGTAAAGACAGCTTATATCAGGGAAGTGAACTTTATCAGGCACAGGACCTGAATTGTGTCTCATTGGCCCATATGATATTTTAAGCCTGTTAATTTCAAGGGATGGGTAAGAATCTACTTTTTTTAAACTATTAGGGATATTGACATTATGATTCATTGGAGACATTTGATAAAAAAGAAAAAGAAAAACTCATTGAGTTTTCTAGGAACTTTTATGAGCCCACTTTCTCTAGGATACAGGTTGGAAGCATTGTGTAATCATTTATTTGGCCTGGAACTACTATAGCCTAGAAGACTCAGACATTACCAAAATGCTAATCTGAAACAACAAAACATTATCAACAGGATAATCATGAATGGAACCAAGAAAGTAAGGAATCAAGATAAAGAGGATAAGGAAAATCTGACTGTATCTATAGGGTTGCCTTGTCCAAAAGTATATAGCCATTTTCCTACTTCTATTTATCCCATGTGGTTTATCTAAGTGTAGCAAGCCATATTAATAAGAACAAAATGTCTGTCTTTCCTGTGAAAATAAAAGAAAGTCAAAAGCTAGAGGGATATCAAGCACAAGTCAAAAGCATCTAGTAACTCAAAGAGATCATTGATGGTTTCTCCAGTCATCTGGGCCAGAGAGCTAGCTTATGGATGAAAATTTATTTTTAGAGTGGCTTACTAGTATATGAAGCAACTCTATAGGTTCAACAAATGTGCCTGACTCCTTCTAGGATTAACCCAGTTACTTCCTTTGATCTTGTCACAGGACAAGTGATACCTATTCCCCTTGATCCTAGCACATTGATAATGCATTTTTCCTAAATTAGTGTCATTTATGCAGTGAGAAACTCATACTTAGTAAAGAGTTAAAAACACAAAACAGGAGTTTTCCCCATAGAGTAGTTAGATTAATGAGTGATCACAAAGGTAATAGTCATCCCAGGAGTACACATGCCAGTGGATAGTTGAATAACTGAATATTTTAATTAGAAACTTTACCCAAACCAAAGGCTGGGCAGACAGTGGAGATGGAGGGCCTTAGCAATGAATCTATAAATGCCATGATGACCCTGGAGTCTGCAGGGCATAGGAGACAGTTGAGCCTTTACTTAATTATCTCTTCCCTCATCCACAGTGACCACTAGTCTGAGCTGCTAGGTTTTGACCCAGTTAGTAGGAAGGCTGCTGAAAGCAAGTAGAACTATTGGGCTGACACCCTTAGATGAATTCAAAGCCTAAGGGGAGCTTGGGAAGTCCTAAGACCTGATCTTCTAGGCCTTTAGGAAGAGGATGGTGACATGTATCTTCTAGAAGTAGCTCTCCCCCACTTTCCTATATTGCTTTTTGTACTTGGTTCTGACTAATTATGATTCTTTGGGCCCAGCTGATTTCATCTATTAAGAGGTCATAAGTGACAAATGACCTGCCATACATTACCTCAAAGAGGGTTAATTTTAATCCCAACTTCAAATGCTATGGTAATGTGGAAACATCTGAACCAAGAACGATTGAGTCTCCTGACAGTTTAGTCAAACACCTTTGATATTCTAGATTGTCCTTGGGACTTTTCCTAATGACTCTGTGTGCCAAAAATTATTTTTGTTCCACTTTTTAAAATTAATTTTTAGTAAGCATACAAAAATAATGTGTTTATGACATTTTCCTAACATATATGCCACTGAACTTTGTTCATCTTCATTCATACCTTGTGAAGGCATCCACACCCACCAAAAGGAGAGCTGACAAATGATTCTCTCTTGTTTTGGCTTTATGAAGACCTATGTGTGTTCTTCTTCAAAGAGGATGGTGGAACCCAGATTGCTAAAAAACATCTCTTCCTAGAAAAATCATAGGTCATTTTGCAACACACGGAAAAGAATGGGTAGTAGTGGTAAGCTCAGTTTCCAAACTAAGGGGATGGTTAAATTTTTGAACTTTAGGTTGCCCATCTATACCTATGCATTCAGCCCTAGAGGAAGGGCCAAGAAGTCTGATCAGGTTACAAAAAGCATCTCCAGTACCCAATAAAAATCCTGCTTGCCTATTGCCATGCCAAGGGTTCCTGAGGCTCTGCTATGTGACACCAATATCTCCTCAGTGCTGATCTTTCTCTCTCCAAGAACCATGCTTGTGTTGGGCTCAGAGCTGCTTGTTGTTCCATTGGCCTTTGCTAGGAACAGAGAACGTTTCTACTACAATGCCCTTCCCTTGGGCAGTATTCACATCAGACCCAGTGAAGGCACTGTTGTTCTCACTGAGTAATCTTTTGGGGATATTGGGTTCCCCTGTTGTGATGATCAAATCGATGCCTCCAAGAGCTACATCTCTTTTTTCTAGTCTACACATTTTTTATTTTTTTTCCTCCTTCACCTGACTTCAGTTGTTCTAGTTATCAAAGGCCCTGTCTTTCATGCTGAGAGCAGGGTTTTTGGATGTCTCCTCGAGTTTCTGTTACCTTCGTCAGATGTCTATCGCTACCTGTACCATAGAATGCATTGCCAGTAAGGCTCTTCCCTCCCTCTATTCTGATTAGAAGTGAAATGTCTTTAGAAAGCATCTGATAAGCAGTTGCATGCCACAGAATTTTCTTCCTTTTCTTGGGTTACTTCCTTTACTTTAGCATAAGTTTGATTAGACAGTTTCCCATTCCTTCAGAAACACAGTTATAAGATAATCCACTCTAGCCTAAAGGATGGAATTTTTGTGGATCCAGCAAATATCTGTATTAGTGACCACATCTTCCTTGGATCATGAATACTATGGCCTTGGGCACTAGCTGCTAGCCCTGAGTTTATAGATTCTTTTAACATAACTTTTTTTTTATGTCTTTCATCATCCAACAATGAGCTAGTAGCACAATAATATCTTTCCAAGTCAACTCAAGGATCTCATTGTTGGATATATAACACGATCTCTGAAAGGTTGCCAAGTCTTTCCTTACACTTGGCTGTGTCTTTTACTAAGAAAAGAACACATGCTCTAAAGACATTTTTTTTTTTTGCCTTCAGCTGATACTTCCTACGGCTACCTGGTTCCCTTTGATTAAGATGGAGCACCGGTTTGTTTCATAACCTCATCTCCATTAAGAACAGGATTAGTGGGTAAATAGTCCAATGGTCATGGAAGGGCAGGGTTCTGCTTCAGACACAGCAGAGAAGGAGCCAAGACAGGCAAAGCTGCCGGTTGATGTAAGATTCACAGAGTGATCCTCATGTCTAGAGAGGTGGTGACTGACAATTTGAGATGTGGTTAATAGGTATAAGCTCTTGAGAAGATTCTTACTTGAGTGTATAACTATTCCTGGTTCCATAAGGCCCATGAGTAGAGATGTTGGTGAACATGATCAATCAAGTTGAGAGAAAGGAAGGAGGGAAATGTCTCATCAGGATGCTTGTGCTGTCTTCAAACTTTTAAGAAACCTTTAATAATCTCAATTTTATACCAAATTCATGTTCTACTAAATTCAAGACCATGGTCTACCTTAGCTAAAAAGCTTAGAGAAGATGCTTTATAAGGCAAGTAAAAAAGGAAAGGCAGAAATCCTAAGGTTATAAAGTGATGCTTTCCAGAGTGTGTGGATCCAGTCTACACAGAGACAAAAGTAAGGGGTCTGGAAGAGGCTGTGACTGTCCAGGAAGCACATAAAAAGGACAAGAGAAAGAACTGAAGGAAAATAATCCCAGAGAAGGGATACACCAAAATATAAAACTTTCAAAACCAAAACAGAAACTGTCAGAGAGACTGCAACCTGATTGGCAATCTAGAACATAAGGCTCTTTAAGCCAGGCCTGCACAGCCTCAATTTCTCCTGCCTACAGGTGTCTACGGTGAAGCAGAGATTACCACCAGAGTCAAAATGGTGAGCCAGAGGCTAGGTAAATGTCTCAGCACCTTAAAATGCTTGTTGCTCTTGCAGAAGATTCAGGCTCAGTTCTCAACCCTGACATGCTGGCTCACAACCATCTGAAACTGCAGTTCCAGGGGATCCAACTTCCTCTTCTGACCTCTCTATGTACCAGGCAGGTACACAGTACACATACACACATGCAGACAAAACACTCAAACACTTAAAACAAAATAAATAATAATATTTAAATGGTAAGCAATATTTATTAAAAATGAAAGGAGCAAAATCTAACTACAGGATAAAAGGTAGGGGGAACAGAAGAAATCGTTGCAGGAAGGACTGCACAGCAGGAAAAGGCCAGAGCAATTGTGGTGACCCTGAAGCAGAGGTTCAAATAACCACTTTATGATAACAAGATAAGTCTGTGCCAATCATCACTGCTGTCAGCCCTTCGAGACCTTCTAAACGGAGGATATTATCTGGGTCACCAAAAATGTTGTCAATCATCCAGGATTAATTTTTCTTAATTTAAGACAGAATTCATAAAGAGGCAAGTAATACCAATCAAAGCAAATTTTGTTGCACTTAAATATGAACACAGGAAGACAATACATGGAGAAGGGTTCTCTGAGAGAGTGTCAGATATAATCTTTGTGATCTTGGGCTGTGCCAGTCCAGGAGTTTTGAATATCTCTCAACTGATCTTTGTTCTCTGCTGGTGGCTCATATTTGGTACAATAATTTGCTTATGCATATTGAGTCTGTTTGCACTTGACATGTAGAGAGGTGACAGAGGTCTCTTCCCTAGCAGGAAGGTCAGAGTAAGCCAGGCTTTTCTGTCTATATGGTGGTTGCAGGAAAGTCTCTGAATTCTTTGTAGAAATCTTGTGCTTTTGAGACCTTGCTGTCTGTGGACATCCTGTAGGAACAGTACATGCCAAAGAAGGAAGCTTTGGTGGTGAAGTCCGGGCCCTTTCTGTTCTGTCTCAGAAGTATCTATGATTTTTCAGTACCATAAAGTCACAGATACCTAGTTTATTGTGTACATTTACAACTTGAGAAAATATCAAAAGGAAATAGGAAAATTGGGTGAGGAAAGGATCCATCTAAGCATAATTTTGTTTTGTTTTGTTTTGTTTTGTTTTGTTTCGTTTTGTTTTGTTGAGGGTTTCTCTGCATAACCTTGGCTGTCCTGGAATTTGTTCTGTAGACCAGGCTGGCCACAAATTCATAGAGATCCACCTGCCTCTGCCTCTGCATCCTGAGTGCTGGGACTTAAGACATACCTCACCCTGCCTTGAACCCATACCAAGCAACTTACCATTTGCCAGACATTGTCCTGCATACGGACTTACAGTTCAGTGTAGGGGGCATATAAATGGCCAATTTCATTACTGTGGAGTAGCTATATGGTGGATCAGCATGGAGAACAAGGGAATACAAAAGACCTGCTTCTACCTCAGTCTTGGGGAACCAAAGAGGTCATGTTAGAAGAGACCATAGCTGAGCTAGGAGTCAGGAAGACAGAGACTCTGCAGAGGTCAATATTTTCCCTGAAATGTTCCCCATGTAAAGATAGGTTTCCAATGTTAAAATAATGGTAAATACCTAAAGCAAAGACAGTAAAACCAAGGTACAGAGGAGTTAGTTTGTTCAGGGCCACTTGTTAGGAGCAAAGTAATAGAACCCCAAGAAAAACAAATATCTTACCTCTTAATCCAGGGTTCTTTCCTTTAGCTCCTGCTCTGCTATGAGCAGGCCATTGTAGCCGAGCCTAAAAGAGAAGCACATTCAGGCAGATGGCTCCCCAACCAAGGTACTCTCCCCAAGGTCTGCAGAACAGATGCCTACTAGCCAAGAAGCTCAAAAAGAAATAGATTACTTAATGTTTAGTGCTTTGGTCCATATAAGGCTAGAGTATACACACACACACACACACACACACAGAGAGAGAGAGAGAGAGAGAGAGAGAGAGAGAGAGAGAGAGAGAGAGAGAGAATCTGGCAGGTGACCAACTTTGTCAGTCCATCCTCTTCCTCTTCCTGCCTGAGAGTCCCACTCGTAACAACAACAGCAGCAGCAGCCAGAGAAAAAAGGTTTTTATGAACATAAAAATAAACAAACTTTCTATTTTTATCAGGACCACAGCTGTGGGAGCGTCATTCTTTGCTTTTAGCTGTAGCATGCCAAGGGAGCACAGGCAAGATTGTGTGTGTGCCTGTGTGTGTGTGTGTGTGTGTGTGTGTGTGTGTGTGTGTGTGTGTG